ACCATAATGAAAATAGAGTATGGTATACCATTTGTGGCTTTGGTCACCATTTCTTTACCATGGTGGACAACCAATGTCCTGTTACTGGGGACATACCACGATCTCCACCAGCGGGTTCACTCTCTAACGTTATCCAGTCCCTTTCCATTGGAGGTGGCGGTACTGATAATATTAAATAGGGATTTAGTAACCATGTATGCTACTAGCATATGTATAATTTGAATAATATTAATATACACACCTTGACAATTCTCTCGTAAAAATGATACAACAGATGCCGTACCTTCCTTTTGTAATATGGATTTGATTGCCTCATTTATCGGGTTTCCTTCCAACCCGAGTGTCTCCAATTGATAAAGTGTGCCCAACTCAAAAGGTAAAGTTACGATCATGTTGTCAAACATCAAAAGATCTCTTAAATTCGTCAGCATACCTAACTCAGGTGGTATAGATGATAATTTATTACCAGAGATATCTAGTAAGGCAAGATGTCTTAACTTGGATATTTCCGGAGAAATGTATGTCAAGTTGTTATGATTTATATAGAGAATTGTGAGGAAGCCGTATTGGAATAGTTCTTTACTGATATTTTTGAGGCCCATACCACCCAGATCAATAGTCATCCATTGTTGAAAAGGTGGATCGTGCTTATCTCCATTGGTCTCTTTTTTTGAAAGCACGCCATTCACTGGTGGTTTATTCGGATTATTTGGATCGGTTATTGCGATTGCTGAGCTACCAAGGCTACTGTTACGAGCGGCAGCAGCAGCTTGTCGTGCATGGTGGTGAGGTGTAGCCGACTGACGAGATAACTGAGCATAATTTAGTTGTTGTTGCCAATGTGTCGTATTGACAGCACCTAAGTTGTTTGTCGTTAAAATGTTGGTTACACCTGGAGATAACAACTGTGGTTGAGTAGAAGCAAATGACGGCGGAGACATTAAAGCTTGTCCGGGAGATCCAGTGGTTTGGTTAAGGAGCGAATGTGGACCAAATGCGTGTCCCATAGACGGTAATTTCGATTGATATGAAAACAGGTGCATGCTACCACCATAAATTGCTGGTACACCATGAGGAGCAAGGTAACCGAGAGACGGTGAAGTTTGACCTGGAGACGTTGCAGGCGGTGACGGCGTATGTGCGGGAGAATGTACTGGGGACACCGGGCCATTTGGGGAACCGTTTGGCTGATAGATTATGTGGGGAAAAGGGTTCATTTTCAAGTCGATGCTTTCTTCTGCAACACTGCAAAGAATGATGATGAAAGTGATGGTTAAAGTTCGTACTACCTAATATTTGATTGGTTGTTTTTTTTACATCATCTAGAAGAGTCTACACTTACAAGACCAAACTTTTAAAAAATTTTGGGACTATTTCAGCAATATAAAGTATAGATAGCAGATAAACAAACAGTATAATTGTTACACGGATAATTTTTATGGGAATTTGATTTACTTTTAAAAATTTTTTAATTTATATCATTTTTAACATTATCTCGAGTTTTGAAAACTCTTGAGAAAAGATTTCATGATGCCATGACCGAGTAATCTTCTGAATTTGTATTTTGTAGCAATTCTACTTGCACGGAGTAAGACTCCCATAAATTAATAATCTAAAAAATTAAGACGAAATAAGAAAAGTCATCATGAAAAATAAAATCGATTAATTTATTTACCTCTTTTTGTGTCTGCACCATTGATTCTAAAAAGGCTTCAACGCTATTCTTAAAATCTTCTACCTTCTCCTTATCAAACCGATCCAATTCAGCCTTAATAAGCTTAGAAACATCTTCAAATTCGTGCTTACAATCTTCCACGCGATGTTCAGACTAAATAAGCATATAAACGTTGTAAACCTCAAAATACAGAAGATACACATGACAAGAAATATTAAAGATAAGCCGTTCGCACCTCAGCAATTTGCGCCAACATAATCGATAATTTATCCTGGCTCATCCTTCCTTGAACTTTAGACCTTTCATAGTTCGTCTTTTTCTTTTGTAAATCGTATATAGCATTCTGCCATGTCTGATAGATCTTGGAACGAGAATTGAATACAACCTGCGCAAAAAAACAAGGGTAAAAAAAAAAAAAGAAAAAAAAATCACAACACAAGGTATACAACAAATGTAAACCGCTAACCTTAATCGATCCAACCAAACGAATGTATTCGTCTATCGTGTTTCCCAAATTAATAACATCCTGTTGTGCCTGATGACAACTAAAATATTTATAATTTGAAATTATGCCACAGTGGATTTACATTAATCACCAACCTGCTTTTCATGTAATTCCTTAATTTTCTGTTGCAAGTCTCCTAATATCTTCAGATTATTTGCTAATGGCTTATTAATTTCGGTGTTTGCTAAAGACAAAATACTATCCCCAAAATCCACGATCGTACTTCCCAAATCTTAAAGAAAACTGATTTAATGAAAAAAATTGATGAATTTGTACTAAAAAAGAAATAGCAATAAATACCTTTGCGCTGTTTGACAATGGCTTCAACTGATTTAAGCAATGCCCTTAATTGTGAATCTAAAATGTCCAACTCATTTTTTCGATTTTCAACCCACTGACAGAGATTAAATGTAATCAGTAATTCTAGAAATTTGAGATTTTAATAATTAAAAGTTATGAGTTTACTTCATCTGTTTCTATAAATTTGCTGAACGTGGTGGCGTTTGACACTGCTTCACCTAATGATTTCAATACACTTTTTGATTCATCTTGACTTTTACGTTTGACCTGTTATAAAATAGTCTGTATATTATTATTTATTATATAATTACAACTAAATCAATTAGCTTATAAACTTTACATCGATCGTAAAGGTATCCGACTCTAAAAACAATTTTAAATTTGGATCGTTGCATAACATCGGGTGAGACGTGATTTTATTCAAACACTTTTCGAGTGCTTGGCGACGGTTTTCTACGAATTCATCCTGAAATCGGCCTGCGTTAAGTTATTTACTTGGTTAAAGTCTAATATTTGCACCTTTTATTATATTAATAGTTCTTACCAATGACATGTTTCCCTGGTACAGGAGGAACTATGATCCCTGGATTATTGAGCGTCATTTGATTATATAACCATAGAAAATCACGATATCGCCTTAAAACTGTAAATTCTTTATCTTTAAATGCTGTAGATGTAGTCTGCAATTGAGATCGTGGACTTAATAATATGCAGAATGATGTTTTTTTTTTACTCAATCATTCAAGCATACCTTAGTTCTGACTTTATATATAATATGCGCATTGATGGGATCACCAATTTTTTGCGGATCTTCAACTGCAATTTCAAATATCGGAATAGACTCTCCAATCCCGTGAAAATTCGTCTTAAAGTTTTATTAATGCGAAATTCAAATTATTAATGGTTAAAATAGCTTATTACTTTAATCCCCCGATCACTATTCAAGATCACGGGAGGATTAATTAATAATACCCTGACCGTATGTGAATTAGCGGAAACTTCGACTCCGCTAATTCCCAACGGATCAGGATATTATTATTACTAATTACCTGACTTGAATTCAGACTGAAGCTTGCTATTTTTGATTGCACATGTGATTCTCTTATAATAATGCTTTCTTCATCAATAGACTCGTCACTGTTGCTAATTTTTTCATGAACGTGACCTTCTGACGAAACTGACGAGACAGCATCTATCCCTTTAAAGGAAGATGCTTCTTCTTCGAAATCCCTTTCCTCATCAAATTTGATTTCTATACTTTGTACTTCAGAATCAGAGTTCAAGCTATCGTTCAATAGATCATTATGAGTAGGTTCTATATATAAATCAGTTGTGACCTTATCGCTATCATCAGATAAAGGGCTTATTGGTGCAGTCAAAAATGATACAGCGTCACGAAATGGATTAGACAAGTCTACATTGCTCAAGGTTTCAGATATATTATTACTTGCTGGTTTGTGCAAGAGGTCATCGAAGTTATTTTCGAATTCAGTTATATCAGTCATTTTGGCAAGACAAGTTTATTTCAATTTGAAATTAAATTATTTAAATTAATTTGTTGGCTTACCGTTCCAGCCAATCAAATTCCAAGATCTGGTGTAACGTAACCCCCAAAAATTTTGACAAGATTCTTCTACTTGAAGAATCTGATTGGTCTGTCTGATCAAACTAGCCAACCATAGAAGTCGTTGAGAGAGGTGGTTATGGTTGTTTTCGATTGATTTTGCTGAAAATTCATTGTGCAGATTTTACCAATTAGAGGGGTCGTCTAAAGCGGAGCAGAATCACGTGATACATGACTAAGTAAAAATGACGGGAGGGCAATTTTGCACATATAATTATTTAAAACCTGCTTTGACCTTAATCTAAGATAGCCCTAACCCTGAAGTTAATTTAATAAAATATATACTGTATTATAAGAATCTACTCCGCTTTTGACGTTTCTCAATTAGAGTAAAATTAGATCAGGTTATACAATTTATTTTTTAACCAATAAAATTATTTTATTAACTACTGTATAGAGTAAAATTAGATCAAATCTGTAGACCTATATATATACAGTATAATTAAAAATACAAATATGGAGTAAAGTTAATAGAAAATAAATTTTTTCTAGGCTAAAATTTTTTAAACTTAAATATTTTAGCAATTATTGTATTTTTTTTTTTCTTTAACAATCTTGCATTAACTTTATTAGAATTAAGTGTTTTATATACAGTATATATATATATTATAGCTTTATCTAACAACTATATATATACTGTAGGCCAATGCTTAGCTTGTTTAAATGGTGCCTAAGTATAACTATTATACTATTATAGTAGAAAGATCTTCTTAAACTTGCTACTATAATAATAACATAGCTATAAAGATCTTTTACAAGTTTATAGTAATATCTAAAAAATAAGTGTAATTTTTTATATTTATACAAACTACACTCTTCTCTAAGGCAGTTTGTTATGAAGACAAAGATTTATAAATAAAATCTAACTTTATTACTAATATAAAATAAGGTTATTTGCAAAAAATTTTTTAATCATTTTCACTCTTTCTGATGATCCTTTGTACCAAAAAATACATCAAACTTTTTTTCTAAAAAACTGTAAACTATAGTAGAAAAGAAAAGCATAAGACTGATAAAAACTATAAACTGGTATCTGTTATTTAGAGTAGTTTTTATATGCTACTTGCTAACAGGCTCAGAGCTTATTACTCATCGTGAGGATAGCATTTATTATTTAGAAGTAATTCTTATATGCTACTTGCTAACAAGTTAGGGTTTATCACCTACTAACAAGAAAATCAGCAGTAAACTTGGCTCTCTATATTTTACTACTTTTAGAAAAAAATATATGCTTCTTTAAAAAAAGTACAAAAGCTATTCTCTACACTATTACCTACTTGCTTATTTTTTAAAATTTTTGAAAAAAGTGGGCAAAATAGCTTATTTCTATTAAAAGATCAGCATTGTTTACTCCTTCCAAATTTGGTCAATCTGGTAGATTGCAACTACATATTTTGTTTAGGAATAAGCATATTGCTACTCCACATAACAAGACCCACTAACTAGTTCTTGGTTAAAGACTTATTCGGATTTGGTTATAGAGTCAGAAAGAAACTAATATATTAAGACAAAGTTTTACAGTAAAGATATACAGATATTGTATTTGTTATATAATTTTTTAGCCTTGTACAGGTTATAATAGTGCTTGAAAGTGGTTTCTATTAAGACTACCTACTTTCGTTTTTTTGCTTTTTTTATCTTTGTTTTACTATGATAAAATTATATTTAGAATAAGTTCTCTTGTTAGTTTTTTGTTATATTCATTTGTTTTTTTTCTTCTTTTTTTTCTGTCTTGTTCTAGATAGTTTTTTTTTTCTCATAAATATAGTATATATTGTTGTTTCTTGTAGAAGAATAAGAGATTAAATATTCTATCCAAACTTAGGTAAAAAAGATGGAATAGCCAGTCCTAAATAGACCACCACCGTTATCTATTTAAAATCTAAACAGTGTGACAAGATACATTTAAAACCAAATGGTAACTGGGTAGTACTAGCCTTCAGAGTTTCGAACTATCTGTAGTATAGTATAAAAATTTTTTCTTTGTAATATGGATTATATTTACTCAAAATGCCTAGCAGGCTTGTCAAAAAATAAAATAAAAAAATAAAGCTATTTGTTAGATTTCTATATCTAAAGAATTTTTTTATAAAGATAACTAACTAAAAAAAAAAAAATAATAATTTGTTTAAATTATAAAAAGAAAGTACTTGTATTTAACAATAGTATAATTTAATTTAAATCTAAACTAAAAATTAAAACTGCTTTGATTTAAGAGAAAAGTAGAAGTTTATATATCTATATATAAGATAAAATATTAATGTTTATAGATAATTATTGCTAAAAGTATTAATTAGTGATCTACTAGTTAGCCAAAAAGTTATTATAATAAAATATGATTCAGATTACTTATAGAAAATAAAGATTTGCAAATATAGCTTATATGAATCTAAAACTTTTTTTTATATTGTTATAGAATAGATTTTTAGTATTAGCTTCTTGAATATATAAATATTAGTATAATTATTATTTTATCATATTGTTA